CCTGACAGCTGAGTCTGCAGATTCCTCCCCCATCCTTAGTCAGGAGCAAGGACTAGTGGACATGACCCCCATACCTTGATGAACACAGGAGTTTTCCCTCAGATAGAGCTATAGTTAAGTTGGCATCTGTCTGTCTTGAGAGACAATGGAGTGTACCTCCAGGGCTGAAGCCAAACTGCTCTAGTGTGCTGCCCAGACGACAAGATTCACTGATGGGATCCAAAGGAAAGGAAAATGATACATTTGGCACCAGCTTGGCTGCAGGAGTTACCGGAAAGAAGCATACAAGATTCCATCCAGCCATCTTAGGGACTGCACTCTGGATATGTGTAGGTCCAGGGTTTGCTTCTTAGCCTTTTCTTCTCCCAAAGATATCCATCAAAGCAGCAGAGGAGAGCTATAGTAGCAACCTGATTTAATCAGAACTGTTTAGGTAGTGTTTTTTGCCTGATCCAGAATCTCCAGATTAGTTTCCATATCTGCTTTAGGCCAAAATTAGTGGCAAGCCCACCAGTGACGCACTCCAGAGGCCTCAGAAAATGGTAAAAAGGCATCTCATAAGGACAGCGAATCTTTCCTAGGCCCAATAGGCCCCTATATTTAACTAATAATAAAACACCCACCTGCACCCTGAGACTTACTAAATCTTATTGCAGCCACATGCTCATATACTGAGCAATGTTTTAATTAAAAGCATGATAACAGTGCTGGTGCTTCCTTACCCCACAGAGACCTGCATGGATTAGCACCTGGGAGAACTAGCTGGCTCTGGACTCAATAAAGCAAGCTAACTCAGGCAGCCTCTGAAATCGGTGTAGCTTGCAGTTACAAATTGTGGGTCTCTCCCTCAAGCCAAGAATGAGTGTGTTACATTGCTCATTTGATCCCCGAAGTGTGGTTGCAGTCAGAATGTATTGCAAGAGGCTCGCAGGTTCAAGCGAAAGGCGTTCCTACCTCTCTGGTGGTAGCATGCATCCCAAGCACAAGGAAGAAGAGGAGGAGGAGGAGGAGGAGGAGGAGGAGGAGTATTAGTTTGGATTTGCTATCCCGCTTTATCACTACCCAAAGGAGACTCAAAGCGGCTAACATTCTCCTTTCCCTTCCTCCCCCACAACAAACACTCTGTGAGGTGAGTGAGGCTGAGAAACGTCAGAGAAGTGTGACTAGCCCAAGGTCACCCAGCAGCTGCATGTGGAGGAGCGAGACGCGAACCCGGTTCACCAGATTACAAGTCTATCACTCTTAACCACTACACCACACTGGCTCTTGGAGAGCATCTGAGGATATTTTAAGAAAAGAATACCCATTCATTTCAGATCTAGCAATTTAAGCAACCATTGACAGTACTAATAGTCCTCTTACTGCAGAATCCTACATATGCCTACTGGATCAAGTCAGAGCTTCAAGTGACCCTGTTTCCTACAGTCGCCAGCCAGATACTTATTGTAAGCCAACAAGCAGGACTCTTCCTGCTATTCATCGCTGCCTGTTGCCTCTGATGGATTAGAAGCCATTGATAGCTTTATCCTCTGTGAATTTAAGAAGGATATTGAGAAGCTGGAACACGTACAGAGGAGGAGGACCAAGATGATCAAGGGTCTGGAAACCAAGCCTTATGAGGAATGGTTGATGAAGTTGAGTATGTTTAGTCTGGAGAAGGTAAGATTGAGAGGTGATATGATAGCCGTCTTCAAATATCTGAAGGGCAGCCACATGGTAGATGGAGGAAGCTTGTTTTCTGCTGCTCCAGAGGGCAGGAGCCAAAGCAAAAGATTCAAGTTACAAGGAAGGAGATTCTGACTAAATATTAGGAAGAAGTTTCTGACAGCAAGAGATGTTCAACAGTGGAATGGACCACCTCACTGGAGATTTTCAACAGAGGTTGGATGGTCGTCAGTCAGGGATACTTTAGCTGTGACTCCTGCATTGCAGGAGGGTTGGACTAGATTGTCCTCTGGGTCCTTTCCCACTGTGCATTTCTATGATTCGTTTAAGCCATCTATGTTAGCGTCTGTCACTTGTGGAACCATATTTTACCATTTAATTCTGTGCCTCCGTGTGAAGACCTCAGATGACCCTAGGCTTATGAGAGACGGAGAAAAGCTTCTCTCTGTCCTTTCTCTCTAAACCATGCATAACTTTCTATGTCTACATTGTGTATTCATCCGTGAGTTCTCTGGAGGAAAGGTGGCCTACAATGATGAAAAACAGTTAGCTGTTAATGCAAAATAAATACTGATTTGGGGATCACCGAAAAAGTGGTTGAGAAGTCTGAAGTGGGGAATATATCCCCCCACCTGATAGCAGTGGTGCCAAACTTTTCAACACAATAGCAAGACATATATATATTTGACCCCAGAACATCACCACCATCATCTTCTTTTGCATTTCTAACTAAAAGCTTGTCATATTCAGACTATTCAGAAATCACAGGAGTACTAAGACAGATGAATTGAGAAGAAATACGTTTGTGATAAAAGGATCTTCCTGGAGATTTAGCAACTTCACTCAATAGTCTTGGCTTTGTGCAAGTTTTTTTTTTAAAAAACTACATTCTTTATGGGACTTTAAACCCTTTGCATAATTTTCATAGAAAGTGCTGGCATTTATGATGCCGTGTGTTCCTGAATTAATATTCTCGATTAGTGGAGAGTTACTTAGCATGCATGGAAGCCACTTAGAAAAAGGGGTTATGTCACTTTAAATTGATTGCCGTCACCCTGGCTAGTTAATTGGGACAATTATAACAGCACCTGGGATGCAAATACCACAGGGTTCTTTTCAAAACAAGGAGAGAAAAGGTCAGAATGCTACTGAGACAAGAGCCTGGATCCTTTAATGCACCAGCCCAATTCATGCATTATTTGTGCATAGGGCCTAGTTGTGATTATTTGGGATTGGGGTCACACTTTTAGATTTGTCAATATACCATGTGGCCACATCTCCTTTCCCAAGCTACCATGCATTGTCTGTTGTTGTCTGCAGACTTGTCTGAGCTTGCAGGGCAGCAGCTGAAGGAGGAGCAAAAAGGGTTTTCTTGTGTGTGTGTGTTTCTTTGTGGCTGATTAGCTGCTCTCCCTGTGCAAAGGTCAGAGGGGGCAGGGTTTCTGTTGAGGCAGGTGATTAGCTGTGGGAGGAGCTTATCAGAGCTTGCAGGGCAGTTTGATCCATCTTTTAGATTTAGGAGAGCTAGTCTCAAACGTTTGTTGGGGGAGACCTAGGTTTTTTTTGGGGGGGGGGAGTTATTTGTCCTGTCTTCACGCTTTTTATGATGGAGGACCGCTGTAGCCACCCCCAACGACACGTTCTCAAGATGGAGGGGGAGGGAACAGCTGCAGTCGCCTGTGGTTCCTGCTCAATGTTTGCCATCTTGCCAAAGGTTGCAGGCAGCTTTACCTGCAGCAATTGCATGTTGATTGCCCTCTTAAAAGACAAAGTCCAGCAACTGGAGGAACGTGTAGCTACGCTCCAAAGAATTAGAGAGCTGGAGCTCTTCTTGGAAGCAACAGAGCACACCGTCTCCACCAAGGAGGAGACAGGGGACTCCCTGAGAAGGAGGCTAGTACATCAACACAGGAGCCAGATATATGGAGAAACGTGACTCAAAGAAGTAGGAGGCCCAGGGTTCGCTCTGATTGTTTAGAAATACACAATCGCTTTGAGGTCCTCTCCCTAGCATGGAAGACGAAGAGCAGACTCCATTTGAGGATCTCTCCTCATTACAGTCGATCAGGTATATGAAGACGAGCAGCAAAGTCAGTCCTCAGGGAATGTGCAGGCGACCTTGGAATGGACAGCTCACGGAAGAACCCCGACCAAACCTAAGAGGAGGCGTGTAGTGGTGATAGGGGATTCCCTACTGAGGGAACAGAAGCAGTGATCTGTGGGCCTGACAAGATGTCTCGGGAAGTGTGCTGTCTCCCAGGGCTAAGATCCAAGATGTAACTGAATGACTGCAAGGAATCATAAAACCCACTGACAAATACCCCTTCCTCTTGGTTCATGTGGGAACCAATGACACTGCAAGCAATAGCCTCCAGAAGATCAAAAGAGACTACGAGGCTCTGGGCAGGAAATTGAAGCAATTAAATGCACAAATTGTCATCTCATCTGTCCTCCCAGTCCCTGTTCTAGGTGTTTGGATAAAATCAGAAGGCAATGGAAGGGCAAGAGGGGAAAGGCGGGAGTCTAGCATCCTTCCTGCTGTGGGAGGGGCGAAACGTCAGACTGACCAACAAACGTAAATGTGAGCAAGCAAGAAGCTGGGCTCTGGATGTGTCTTTTTGTAAATAAACATACATAAAATTGCCAGAGAGTCATTACTTCTTATTGGGGCTTGCTTGCCTGCCAGAGATGATTAAACACAGGTTCTGTTATTCACAATTTAACTTTAAGGATAACTATAACTTAGGTCACTCTGAAAGACGATAATGGAGTACTCCAAATCATTTCCCCCATGTATGCGCACAGAAAATAGAAGATCTGGCTGAAAGGCAACACATGGAGATCTGCACCCCTAATTATTATTATTGCTGTATAATTATAATATTGTTAGAAGGGGGCATGTCTGTGATGGAATGTGGCTGTGACTATCACAAAGGGATCCTGCATGTCTGAATTTTCACTGTACTACTGGTTGTCTGAAAAGAAACACCTGCCCATGTTTCCAGGCCTCCACTTGGCTGGGACACCTTAATAATCGACTGCCCCAATTACGTGGAGCCCCTACGAATAAGCAGGATTTCATCAGGAAGTTGTGCAGCATGCACTCATTGAAAATGGAGCTGCACGTCCATCCTGAAACTTCTGCAAACACAGACAGTACTGAAAGGCTGATTGCATATAACTGCCTTGATTCCATCATGAGTACGTCTGGTTGGGACCTCAGACATCTCTCTGTAGCACATGTGTTTCTGTTTGAATTCTGGTCATAAATCAGAATGCACAACAACAGTGACATTCTGTGTCTGAACATTGGACGTATTAATGCTTTAGAAAGGGTCGTAGCTCACTGGTAGAGCATCTGTTGCATGCAGAAGGTGCAAGATTCAATCCCTGGCATCTCCAGGTGGAGTTTGGAATGTTCCATTTCTGGAACAGTCAGTGTTGACAATACTTAGCTAGATTGACTGATGGTCTGACTTTGTGTAGGGGGTCTTTTCTATGGAGTGCTGATATGCACATGTATGCATTTTAGCATATTTACCCACTAAAATGGGAGGGACGCGGGTAGCAATGTTCTCTAAACCACAGAGCCTAGGGCTTGCCGATCAGAAGGTTGGCGGTTCGAATCCCCACGACGGGGTGAGCTCCCGTTGCTCACTCAGTCCCAGCTCCTGCCAACCTAGCAGTTCAAAAGCACACCAGTGCAAGTAGATAAATAGGTACTGCTCCGGCGGGAAGGTAAACTTGTGCAGCTCTGGTTTGTCAGAAGCGGCTTAGTCATGCCGGGCACATGACCTGGCAGCTGTACGCCGGCTCCCTTGGCCAATAAAGCGAGATGAGTGCCACAACCCCAGAGTCATCTGCGAATGGACCTAACAGTCAGGGGTACCTTTACGTTTACCTTTATCCATTAAAATGGGTAAATATATAAATGGGTAAAAGTTATTTTCAGTGTAGATTTAGAGAGGGAGGAAGGTAGTCTATACAGAATATGCTTTGGGTTCTTTATGAAAATCATAAATATGGATACACTCAAATAACAACATTCACAGAAATGTGATTTGCATTGTTGACAGTCTACCGAACGTATTTGACAGAACAGACATGAGTAAGCCAGACAGGTTCAGAGTCAGGAAGGAAACTTTCTAGCCCATATGGTTGAAGATATGTTTGGATGCAATTGGGCAATGCTCAGGAGTTGCCGAACAGGATCTTCAAAGGGCAGGATTTGAGTGCTGTTTCTATCATCCTGCAAAATGGGACAGAATCTTGCAAATTTTCTCAGTTTGCATAATTTATATAGGTAACACAATTCGGTTACATATAACTGAAAGAGAGCGAGAGAGTGAGAGCGCTTTGTAAGACAACACACTGCCTCATTCTAGCATGCATTGAAATGCCTATGCAAAATTGTGCATTTGGGGGAGAGTCAAATTGTACTGATCTCAGCAATACTCCTCATATTGTTGACAGCCTAATGAATACATGTGACGGAACAGAAGTTGGTACATCAGACAGGAGACAAGGCACTTGTATGGTAACTTACCCCCAACCCCAAGGCTTTGTTAGCAAAGCAAAACCATATGTGTCCCACTGGGGCGCCCCTGAGAAGACATAGATTTTGAGCTATGCTGATTAAGTGTGATAAAACAATGACACAGCCAGGGACGTACTGAGAATTGTATGAAGCTGAGTGCTCAAACCTGTCAAGCTACTGATCCCCTACACAGATCTTCAGTGTTGCTACATCTGTTCTTCGTTTAGACCGTAAGCTCCCAATCCATTTTAGTTCAATGTAGAGCCCCCAACGCCCCAATTTCTGCAAAGGCCAGCCTCTCAAATCTATTTCAGGTGGTGGTCTTATTTAGCTGGTTAGCGTAGACTGAAATCTGGCTATGAAGCTCTTTTTGATACTGGCCACATTTTGCAAGTTTTCTATGGATATAGGCCTCAATCAGAGATAAAGGCCAAAATCAGGAATGGGGAACGTGTGACAATACAACTTTAATTGCCTCTGGAACATGGTTCATGTTTGCTGGGGCCAGAGCAATGTGGGTCTTCTTCCCCCCTTGCAAATGTAAGTGAAGATTTAATATTTTACAAAATCCTCACCCTTGAAGAAAAAGCAATCAAAGAGCCCTCCAGTGCTCTACAGACAACATTTTCAACTCGCAAAGCCTATGAACCTAGAGGAACTTAGATTTTTGTAGGGAAGAAAAGCACAGAAACAGAATGATAAAGAGGCACAAGGCTTTGGAGTGAACTTGACATAAAAGTTTGAGCCCACATGAAGCCTATGTGTACCTTAGTGCACAAAACGCAACAAATAAATAAAAAACTATCGCAGGATAAGAAATATTGTAAAATGCATGCAATGGAGTACTAGCTTGATATCTACCCCAGATCACAATAGCATTATGATGAATAATCCAGAAAATAGTAGGCCTATTTTTATAGTACTGCATACTGAATAAGACCCTCAGCCTTGTTAAGTGCAGCTTTTGTCTTGAAGTCATAGGCTCTTGGATGACGAATATGCCCCAGGGGTGATCTGAGTGGAAGATGGAGTAAGTGCAAATACATCACAGGTGCTTATGAATCATGTCGCCATTTTGCACAAGGCAGGCCTTAGACAGAGGATGCGATCATTCTAGGTGTTAAGTCTATTGTTTATTTGGTATCCAGGGAGAAAGTACTCAGGGCAAGTTGAATGGTTTTGTCTGATGATTCTAAAGGATCAGTTCCATATTATGTACTACAAAGGGACACGGGTGCCGCTGTGGTCTAAACCACTGAGCCTCTTCAGCTTGCTGATCAGAAGGCTGGCAGTTTGAATCCCCGTGACGGAGAGAGCCAGTGTGGTGTAGTGGTTAAGAGCAGTGGATTCGTAATCTGGGGAACTGGGTTCATGTCTCCGCTCCTCCACATGCAGCTGCTGGGTGACCTTGGGCTAGTCACACTTCTTTGAAGTCTCTCAGCCCCATTCACCTCACAGAGTGTTTGTTGCGGGGGAGGAAGGGAAAGGAGAATGTTAGCTGCTTTGAGACTCCTTCGGGTAGTGATAAAGAGGGATATCAAATCCAAACGCTTCAAATCCAAACTCTTCTATCCCAGCTCCTGCCAACCTAGCAGTTCAAAAGCTCACCAGTGCAAGTAGATAAATAGGTACCGCTGCAGCGGGAAGGTAAACAGTGTTTCCGTGCACTCTGGCTTCCATCATGGTGTCCCGTTGCACCAGAAGTGGTTTAGTCATGGTGGCCACATGACCCGGAGAGCTGTCTGTGGACAAACGCCGGCTCCCTTGGCCTGAAAGTGAGATGAGTGCCGCACCCCATAGTCACCTTTGACTGGACATAACTGTCCAGGGGTCCTTTACCCTTATCTTTACCTATGTACTATGGGTACCACAAGCCATTAGGACATACCCTCCAACTGTGCTCATATTCCGCGGACAGTCCTTGAATTACAAAAGCCATCCCGGCTTCTGAATTGATCCCGGAATATCCCTATTTCCCCCACCAGCACAGATGACAAGCATGGAGAGGCGGGTGACCTGGCTCTTGTCCAAAGCCAAGGTTGTGGCTACGGCTTGCAAGGGAGCATTCTGTTGCCTCTCCATGGCTGCTGCTGCCAACCTCGTCCCTTGAAAAAAGCACACCAAGAACTCTGTCCAATATAGGTTTCAATAGTGGGATATGTATAACACAATAATTTGTTACAGTATTAAAGATAAGAGTTTATGAGCTAATTTTTAAGGGGTCGTGTAAGTTTGAAGAATTCGTATAAATATATCCTGTTATTTTTTACGTTTCTCAGAGATAACAACTAAGTGTGGTAGATCAACGTGTATCTTGAGCTTTTCTGTGCATTTAGCTGATGAAGGTGAATACATCGAAACAGGGCCCTGTCCCGGTTTCTGATCCATAATTGGCTTCTGACTGCTGCTCAATGATTGAAACTAAGATCTCCCCGTCAACTCTAACATGAACCTATCTCTACTTATAAACTCTTATCTTTAATACTGTAACGAATTATTGTGTTATACATATCCTTATGAGTTTGAGTTTGTAATCACTGTTTGAGTTTGAAATTTCTATTTGAGTTTATAATCCTTGTCAGAATACATATCTTTGAATGGATTAGTTTTTGTTACAATTGACTATTGATTTGCGAGTAGGGACCACTCCCACTATTGAAACTTATATTGGCCAGAGTTCTTGGTGTGCTTTTTTCTTGCTATATTTAATAACAAGAACCTCGTCCCTTGGGCAGCTTGCAGCGGCTGCTGGAGAGCAGGTGAGGAGGAAAAGAGGCTGCAGGCCCAGCCCAGCTGTGTGTGATGCACCAGATCTGATGTGCAGACAGTGATCAGGAAGAAAGGAGGAGTGGAGCAGAGTGCAAGGAGTCTTGCTTTATTATTTTGTTTTTTAAAATGGCCATGCTGGCTGGAGCTGATGAGAGCTGGACTGCAACAACATCTTGAGGGTCACAGATTCCTCGTTCCTGTTTTAAGACAGCAAAACACCTCCAGGTATCTCTGAGAAAAGGATGCTGTTCTAAATGGGCCTGATTCAGCAGGCTCTTCCTACGTTCTTTACATACTGCACATGATAAAGAGCCAGCCCCAAATTGCACAGGAACCAGAGTCATACACAATGACTCATGGAACACATGGAGAGTGGTCCAAATCTCTCTCTCTAAAGTGATTGATGAAAGGGTATCTGGATAATTTAGGGTGAAACAAGATGTTAAGTTGCTTTACAAAACAGATGATACGATACGATATCTTTATTGTCATTGTCCCATGCAGAACAATGAAATTGAAAAACTACATAAAAGTACATAAAAGCTACATAAAACTACTACAAAGCATGCTTAAAAATGGTAGCTCTGTCTCTCCTTAGCAAAAGCAGCTGGAAGCTGTTCCACAGCAGCCCATGGTGCATGCATGTGTGAGTGCGTTAAACTTTTGCCCTCTGCCATTTTCCCACTGAAACTCCCCCTTCTCAAAGCTGAGATTTGCCCCTGAAGCTGTTCTTTGTGCCATCATTCCAAAGGAGGCATTAAGGGAGAATGTGAACACCGGGCGACAGATTGCATTGCAAAACTTGTGGCAAGACTATGATTTTAAAAGGGTGAGATGGAGGAGTCCCTATTGCAACTGCTGTTTTTCAAAATAAAACATCCAGGCTCTAAAATTCCCAGGATTTTCTCTCCCTGCCACCCTGTGTATAACTGTGGAAAAAAATGTAGAATTTTGGAGATGATAATTCTCACAAAGGCTAGGACCTGGGCAGGATTTTTTTCTGTATTTTTCTACATTGTACTACACACAAAACACAACCTAGCCAGAGCGGTAACATTTCAAGCCCCATAGATTTCAGCGACAATTGCTTAACTTT